TAACGTGACTGAGTCCACTTTTCTCCCTAACACCCCGGCCGCCAATTAGGCTGCTCCATAATGGGCAGTCGTCGCCGAGATGCACCCTCCTTTCCCCATGGGACCGTTGACGTTGGAGAAGCAGAAAGCCTCGGCATGTGCGCGTCCACGTTTTGCACCGATGCCGCCGGACACCCGCCCTAATTAATATGCGCATAGCATTCCTCCACGACAGCTCTCCTTGAATTTCATCTCCCACGCCTCAAGTCCATACTATATTCAGCATTGCCCATCCCCCACCCCCGGGCCCTCTGGCTTGCAAAATCTCCTCCTCTCTCTCTCCTTTGTGCATCTGCTTTATTCCGGTCCGCCCGTCACAAAAGCAGCCCCGCTGCCCGTTCGACTCGGCTCACTCCGGTCCCCGGCCGCTCGTGCAACTCCAACAACCACCCTTTTATTTCTTGACGAGAAGACGCGAAAAACAATAATTTCATATATACATCTACATAAGCAAAACTACAGCCGTCAAAATGGTCGTCAACGCGCTCGTGTACCACCCTTCCGTCAAGCACTACCTCAGCTTCGTCGCCACCACCGTCGGCCGCGACAAGCTCCTCCGCACGATCCAGTACTTCGCCCGCTTCTACGCCTGGTACCTCCTGCGCACCAATGCCACAAAGGCCCAAATCGCCCCCTGGGACGTCACCAAGAAGCAATTCGGCCTGGCGCGCAAGATCCTCCGCGTCGGCAAGAACGTCGAACACCTCAAGGCCGCCGTCGAGACCGCTGACAACCCCAAGCCCATCGACGCCTTCCTGCGCTACGCTGGCATCGGTAGGCAGATTGGCTACGCCGGCTACCTGACCTTTGACTCGGCCGCGCTGCCCGATGCCGCCGGCATCAAGAAGTGGGACAAGGCCAAGACCGTCCAGGCCTACGGGTACAGATTCTGGGCCATGGGCCTGTTATTCAGCATCTCGGCCCAGCTGTATACGCTGTATCAGCTGAAGCAGCGGGAGGCCAAGATTGACCGCAAGGACGGCGAGGGCGTCATCAACAGCAAGCACATTGCCCGGTGAGAAATTCAACCCCTCCTTTTCTTTCGTGTGTGTGTTTTGCCGTATCCATTGCCTTTTCGGCATTATAGCTGTCTTTTTTTTTTTTTTTCACGACATGTCACGAGCGACTAACTTATTTCTTCTCAGCGAGCGAGCTGCTAGCCAGCTCCAGCTCATCTCTGACCTCTGCGATCTCACTGTTCCCTCGTCTGCCCTCGGCTGGGCTGGTTTCGACGACGGCTTCGTTGGTCTCGCCGGCACCCTGAGCAGTTTGATCGGGGTTTACAACCAATGGAAGAAGGTTACCGCAAAGCCGGCCTCTCAATAAATTCAAGACGGTATCAGGAACTGAAACCGTATCGTCCCAGTCCAACCAAAAGACAACGCCTTGATGGATACAACACACATCGTTGCTTGACTAGTTCGCCATTTCGCTGCAGCTCCCACATGCTAGAAATCGGCGATAAATTGTAGTTATAGTACGAGAACCAAGACAGAAACGTCGGTTCGCATACCTTGATATGAGCGGCCAAACCGTTGAATATTTGTTATGAAATTTTTCATGCTTCTATAGATTCTTTAATTCCATTTGCGTTTACGAACGAGGCGATTTTCTAGGGACTGAATACTGGATCCTCGAGGATCCAAATGTTAAATCGCGCTACTAACACGCATAGAAATTGTTAGAAAAAAAAGAATTAAATTGATCAAGAGCAACACATCAAAGAATGTATGAAAAATCAAAACGCAAAAGAGGCGTGGCATGCATTCTGATAATCGTACATATCGTGGTTGTTCGCTGCAAAACCTCGAGTCGAGTATCTGTCGTCGTTGATTCTCGACTTTAGTTACTTTCCCCAGACGCCCGCCGTCGTTCACTTTTGCTTTGTCATCACGTCCACCCAATTCCTCCATGCAGGCCCATCAAACCAACCGTACTCCCATGAATCCGCGCCGTGGTAGCTCTGCCATATCATGGAGACCAATTTTTTTTTTAAAAAAAAAAAGAAATAAAAAAGTTCATGTCGAGCAATTTATTTCCTACGCTCCCTCACTCCTCATTATCATATTGAAACACCCCCCCCCCCACCCCCCATCCATCCCCCTC